GAAGATCGTGGAGAGTAACAAACAAATTATAAACAATATCTATAACAATATACATTAAATAAAAAATTTCGGGCTGAAGCTCCTCCTCCCCAAAATTAAATCCTGGAGCTGTTAGTGCTATATATGAAAATATCAAAAGAAATAAGAAAATACCAAATGAAAATAAGATAGGTAACTAACGCAGAAATAAGATTCGATGGGCAGGACAAATATGTTAATTAATTGTATTATATGAAGTGATACCGTTGTTTTCACTTTGTCTTCCCTATATATGAAAATACTTATCTACTTTGAGCTTGGTAAGTGAAAGTTGTGTGATGCGCGCATCGCGCTTGATTTATTTGCATTGATAAATATAACTGAAACTTTGTTGTAATATAAAATCGGAACTTTGTTTTTTTAATATTAAGCTTAAAAAGTAAGGTTCAAAAACTTTTTGTAATAGTCCAATTTTACTAGTCATTATTTCAGTTTAAAGAAGAGTGTTAAGTGAAATATGTGTGATGCGCCCAACAGATTTTGAAATTATATACGAAACTAAACTAGTTTAAGAGAGTATATTTTACTTGATTTTTTTTACTAAAGAGTTTATCATGAGGAGACATTTTTTTTCGAAGATTGTGAGTTTTTTTTATATTTTCAGAGAATTTGAAAAACTTGAGATTGTTCGTTTTATTCTTGATGTGATAATACAATTTAAAGTAAAAAAAAATAATGCAGAATAGTCATGATTAGCCATAACAATAACATACCTAGATATGTTATAGGTAATGTAGGGTGGTCTTCGATAGGGATGGGAGAAAAATTCTGAAAAAATGACAAAAACAACTATTTAAAGAAAAGAGAAATGTAGAGAAAATTCATTCTCATACACGAATTTCCTAATGTAATAAAAAGAACAATTCTATCGTCACCAGCACTACCGAATTCTGTCAGGAATTCTGACGAATTTTCTGTGATATAAAAAAAATTATTATTGTGACCAGTATTAGCGGATCCTGCCGGGGGCGCATTTCTCTCTTCCCTGAACGGTTGGGGGAAAGTTCCAAAAAGCAGCTATTTGAAGAAAAGAGAAATATAAAAGAAATTCATCCTCATAGACGAATTTCTAATGTAATATAAAAAAAAAGTTATTATCATGACCAGCACTAGTAATTTCTACCAGAGGCGCGTTCCCCTCTGGATGGTAGAAAAATAATTCCAAAAAATTATCCAAAAAAACATCTATTTAAAGAAAAGAGAAAAATAGGAAAAATCACCCTCTATGACGAATAATCCATTACTGGATCTTGGCTGCCTCAAGAGTTTTCCTCCATGTCCTGAGCAGCCTCCACCAGTTCCTGATTCCATGGATTCTGACATCAGCATTTACGCCATTTTCCATCTCAGTTTCGGTCTGTCCACTTTTCTTTTTCCAACCGGTTCCATGCTAAGCAGCTTTTTTGGGATAGAGGTCTACAACTTGGCCCTTCGATTTCAGCCTGGCTATCCGGATATATTTCACCACATTCGGCTCCTTGTATAAGTTTGCTAGTTCTTGGTTGCGTCTAATTCTCCATTCGCCATTCTCCTTAAGTGAGCGAAATATCCTTCGAAGGACCTTCCTTTCGAAAACTAATATTTTTTTTTTTTTGGCTTTAAGATTTGTAAAAGCAAGTCCTATTTTGACAGAAATAATATTTTATGCATCTGTTTAATGAAAAGAGAAATATAGGAAAAATTCATCCTCATAGACGAATCTTCTAATGCAATGTATATATATTAAAAAAATATCGTGACGAACACTAGCGAATTCTACCCCTGGACGGTGGACGAAAAATTCCAAAAAAGTTTCAAAAAGCAGCTATTCAAAGAAAAGAGTGTTGTAGTTTTTGGGCCGCCGTGAGACGCGAAGGCTTGTGCTCCTGTCGCAGTTTGTTTCAATTGACTCCGAACTGAAATACATCTCGCAGGTGAAATACATGATGGAGGAAAATTTATTTTTAAAAATATGAACTTTATTTATTCTTTCGAACAACCTTTTATTCGAGCACAAAATACGTGTTTTCTTTTGGACTCAGTTTTTATTTAGTTCCAATAGATCTTGATGCATTGAAACCTCAAGCAACTATAGTCTCCTTGAAGAATCCATGCGATTCATAATACTGGTCACGATAATAATTTGTACGTTTCTCATTAGAAAATGTTGTTCTTTTCTTAAAATAGCTGCTGTTAGGAACATTTTCATGAGGCAAGATACTAATTATTTGGTCTCTGATTTGATCGGAACATGGTACGAGTACTAGGAATAACAGGAAAAACAAGGAGAGACAGAATTAGGAATGAAAGGATACGAGAAGACTTAGAAGTGCCAGTTTTGAAGGAAACTGTTGACAAGGGATAGTTGGGATGGTTTGGTCACCAATGCAGAATGGATGGAGAGCGTGTTCCAAAGAGCGTGTTTTTTAAGGCCAGGCCTATCGGAAGCCGTCCTCGAGAAAGACCTAGATTGACCACATGGATGGACCACATCTCCAGGATTGATGAAAAGAAGGGAAGTCTATGAATTCAATGAAGGTGCTGGTTCGAGATCGGGAGGCTTAGCAGTCCTGGTTCGGGGTACCTCCACGCTGATTGGCACAAAGAAAGATGGTGAAGTTTTACTTAAAGTATTTTGCACTTTAAATATATACATAAAGTAAAATATATACATAAAGTTAAAGAACTTAATGATTTTTCAACAAATTGTTTGTTTTTGCTCTTAGGTGTTCTTGATGGGTATAATATAATTCTTTGGGTATCTAAAAATTGTATTCTTATAAATACACGTAGTTGAAAGAAAACCTTTACTAGCTCTTCTTCAATTTGCACATTTTCTTTTCTAAGAAAACAATATTATTTAAGATTCCATTAATGATTATATTATTATGAAAAATGCAAGAAGTATTAATAACAACAAACGGATTCTCTGTAAGATGTTCTCTAAATGTCATTCAGGATTTAATTTTTGGGATGAGGAGAGGCTTCAGGCTGAAAGATTTTTTTTTTTTTTTTTTGTATAAATATATAGGATAAATACTTTGGAAGAAAGAAATAAATAAACTACTCGTATGAAATGGTCTTTAAGTAATTCTTGAAGTCCTATTAACTGTAATTAGCCGAACAATAATACTTTTAGAGATAATTTCTTTCATAAAACATGGTTATATTTTACCATTTGACTTCAGCCCAAAAGTCCCCCTCCCCTCGACCGTAGATCCGCCAGTGAAGATGTTATTAAAAAAAATAAATACTCATTATAATATTGTTATAGAGATGGTAAGTAATTAACTGTTAAAATTATAAGGATGAAAATAATTATATCAGGTTTTGCAGTCAAAATTTGTTAATTTTTTTAATTATGATAAAATAATTTTAAAAATATTTCAATATTTAATTTTTTATTTAAAGACATTGTAAATGCATATCCTGACAATTTTTACAATCCTTATAACATTATATTTTAAAAAGAAATATTCGCAAGATCTGCAAACAAAATTAAACTATTGTTTAATATTAAAGTATTGTTTTGTTTCGCTAAATATCTTTTTATCTATTTATATAGATTTTATCTATTTACACAAATTACTATATTTGTATATTCTTTAAAGTAAGTGATTTTCAAATAAAGAATTTAAAAATATAAAAAATATTCTTAACATCAATTTCGTTGTTTTCGTTTCAGGTCTAGTCTGTGATATTCATACAATTCTAATCTAGGTTGCTAATCTTATTTATTTATTTACCTACTTGAAATTATCTTTAATCGTCAAAAAATCAGAAAAGTATTCTCTTCAATAAATTAAACAAGAAGAAAAACACAATAATATTGAAATAAACCTTCATTGATAGGATTGAAAGAGGAATAATTAAGTTTGGTAGTCTAGTGCTTACGTCACGATTCAAGCCTCCCCTCCCCCACATGCATTTATAAGTTAGCTAACCTATTAGTTTTATAGACCTTGAGGAAAAAGGATCAGCAGAAGATGAGGCCCGGCACAAGTTGGGCTATCAACATTTTTGCAGTAGACAGGATTGCCCATCTCTCCCAAGGCCCCTAAACCTTCCCTCATCCCTCTCAAGATATTTTATTCCGTTCTTCTACTTAAAATAGTGCAAAATAAAGTAGAATTTGAATATTCGTAGATTATTACACCATTACACATCCTGTGGTCTATTTCATGATTCCACTTGTCTTGTGATTTGAAATTAACTTCGTCGAAAAGTGCTCCCCTCATTAATTTTTAATGCGCAACTTGCGCCATAGAATTCCCTTCTGGGCATCCCTGGCAGTAGGAAGGAAATTTTTAAGAATTATAAGGGAACCCAAATTTTAAGGTGCTAGTTTTTTTATCATACAATTGCATCTATCTATATCTTTTATACATAAATGAAGTATATGGATCCATTTTATTGTACAAGTAAGGATGGTATTAAAACTTTCTTTGGGAGAGGGAGTATGTGCCATCAAAGTAAGGAGGGGAGGGTATCTCAGTTAACACCACTGCTCAGCATATCTGACGATGTTTTCTGCAATAATTGGAAAACGCAAACTTAAAAACTCGGTTTTATTTATTTATTTTTTAAAATATGAATATGGTAATAAGTGCGAATATCGAATCCACACAAAGTAATGTAATTCGGTTATTACCATTCCTTGATGAAACAACGTACCATTATCTTTTTTGTTTTTAAGAAACAATGAAAATATTTGACGTACTATTCTTTATTTTATTTATTTTTTATAACCTCTATAATGTTACAAGTTGTTGATTTAAATAACTGTTGTATGTTTTTACAAGAATCCTAATTTGTTATGTTAAGAAGTATTGCTATCATGATGATCAAATAGATTTTCATGAATGGGACCGATTTATATTATAAATTTTAATTCTTATATTAAATCAAAACAATAAATAAATATTTTAGTTTATATGATTTTGATTTGCAAACCTGAATAATTCAGTTATAATTGTAATGATGGATATACCTAATTTGCAAGGCGTTGGTTTTGAAATACTACTTCGTAGTGGAGGTTATAATATTAGATTCTACCTCCGTATATTGCTCTTAGTTTAGTTTTTAGTGGTCTTAATATTGATAGTAAATTCGTCCGGTTATCTAGAAATGACAAATAATCATTCAAGATACGGATTGTGCCGTTATATTTAAAATTTGGTAAGTAAACTATCCAGTTCTTTATTTATATTGTTTTTTTAGATGTATAAAAAGACCTTTAGAAGAAAAAATTCATATAGGTAATGCCCACAAGAATGTTTAGTGCCAAGAGAATAAGTTTCCTTGCTTTTTTGGGACCCGAGGCTTTTTATTCAATGATGACTTAACTCTTGCAAGCAGTTAAAAGCGCAGTCTCAAAAAAAAAAACAAAGAAAAATACCCATTTTGTGTAATACTTATACCACATTTTTCACAAATTGTCGTTAAAAATGAGTAAGCATGTTTTTAAATTATCTATTACATTGGTTTCATTTTAAAAATTTTGCTTTGAATCTGACCCTAACTTAAAATTTTCCTTGACTCAATGTCACTTAGTGGTCCCCAACTTTTTTTCATTCGTTGGCACATTTGTAGGTTAGATGTTAAGTAAATGGCATGCTCCGATTTTTTTGTCTGTTGTTAAGTAGTGAATGTAAATTGCAAGTTCACCAAAAGGACTTGCTTCAGAAAGGATATCAATAAGAATAAGTAAATACATTTCAAAACAAACACCCATATTATTGGCAAAACTTGCAGTGTTCCCGACAACGTCATTCATTTTTACTTTCACTTATAGATAGTCCAATCAATGAATGGTCCAAAAAGAGGGTGTCAAGTGCATGAGCATGGATCTAAACCATTCCTTCAGAAACTTGTTCAGGATGCTTGGGGTGTGAACATATTATACGTCATAACGTCTAAGTGGTGATAAGTGAAAAGTGGTCATGAGCCGAAGAGGGGGAAGGAGAGGAATCGTCACAATTTTCAGGTTTGCGCTTATATCTCGAAAACGATGCGTCGCAGGAGAAAATTGTCTGATAATAAATGAAAGTTTCTAAAATTATCTAGAACATTTATGTTATAGGTTTGTTTCTAATTATCAACCATTTTCGAACTTCACTCTTGAAAAAGTTTATATTCTCGAACAAAAAAAATTTACCTCACATTTCTCATCAAACACTCCGTTATTCGTCGTTCTTCCCTTTAACCACGTCTTTAAGGTACTCAGGACACACATCAGTACTCATTGTAGAGATATTTGTAACACTGGGAAATGCGTATATTGGGATTGTCAGACCAAGAACCTTCATATCACCAAGGGTTGTGTGATTGGCAAATGTGGATGCCGAAAAGCAACCTGTTCTGCAGCGTGCCACCGCTATCAAGAGAAATGCCCCAACAGAGTGCCTGTTGCCGAGTCAACGTAGAGCTCATTCAGCAAAAACCACCCACAACAGAGGAGGAAGATGTCACGGACGAATAACCCTTACCAGAACATTTAATCCCAGAACATCCAAAGAGGATGGAAACGTGAATCCATAAGCAGACCCTACACGGTAATTCATGAATGAACGTCACAAGAAGTTCCAAGATTGCCCGCTATCGCTTTGACCATGAAGACCCTTACACGTTCAATCATTACTGATCATTACTTATGTGAAGTTTCCACTTTTTTTCTCTCCAATTTATTGCCTACTTGACTATTTAAAGAAAAAATAGTTGAAAATGGTTAATAATAATATAGACTAGGGATATAAACAACTATTTACTTTTATGAAATTATTTTAATAACGAGACCTAGGTAAACTAACCTATCTAGTAGTAAGGTTAGTCTCATAGAAAATCGTTTTGATAAAAGTTAGTAAAATATAAGTCTACTACATACAAAAATTAAGGAAAGGTATTGCGAAAATAATAAATTTGTTAAGAAAAATGGAAAAATTAATGACAAATAAACACAACAGTTAAAATTTTTTTTTCCTAAAATAAATTGTGAAGTTTCCTCATTTTTTTTTTAATTTGTTGCCCAGTTGACTATTTAAAAGAAATAGTTGAAGATGGTTTTAAGTTATAAACAAGGGATATGAAAAATTATTTAATTATTTACATATAATGAAAATGAGTAATGTATAATGGTTGTGAGGTCTAGGTAACCTAATCTATCCAGCAGTATGGTTAGTCTCCCCACTACTTTTACCTCAGTCCACCCTCCACTTCTCGTGAATGAACCTTTGATTTCCGGATGTTCGGAAATCCGCAGCGAACCTCCATCAGTACTTCATTCACTATCTTACACGACAATTCGGAACGTCATTAGTGCAATTCCGATTGACCGTGTAGGGTCCCCTATATAATATGGGGAGTGTAATATTAAGAAGTTATTGAAAACAGTGATAACAAGGAGGTTTATAATTATTGTATTTGTAATTATTTAATGTAAAAAAATAGAATAAAATTATACTTTATTATCTGTAAAATACGATATTAAATTTTTCAAGTGACGTGATTTTTTTTTCTACTTTATTTAATAATTGTCTTAGGTCTTAATAATAAGTGAGGCCACACATATTATTAGACAAACTAACAAAAGTTGTGGGTCAAGAATATGATAAAAACTTTTTCTGACAATGACAGCAAAAATTTAATTTAATTCTATAAACGAATGTTAGGTTAGTTTATAACCTTATTATTATTTTTCAGCCATTATGTGCCAGACAAATCTATATTATAATGTAATGCCCAGTAGAAGTAGGCAAAAAACAGGGCCGATATAAAGAAAATTCATAATTGGCTGTAAATGTGCGGATTAGTTCCTTATCGAATGAGGAATAAACCATGAAAAGTCCTCTAAAATCCCATATCCTCTTCGAAAAATTCAAATTTCAATTTCAGGGTTCTCTTCGGTTTATTATGTTTTTTTGGGATGCTGATTCTGAATTTGAAGTTGCCGAGTGAAATTTCCTTTACTTTCCGAGATATATGTAAAAAATAGCTAAATTTCTACACCTTTTTAGTTTTTTGATAAGATTCCGAAACTATTATTCATTATTGTTTCATCAACATTATTATTCTATACAAAGTTAAAAAATAGAAGATCTATCGATTTTTAACATGACTGTGGGATCAACGAGTGAGCAGTTAGAGCAAGTTGACTGTCTGCTTATTTCACTATTAAAATCCCTTTTCGTTGTTTTTTCCCCCAAAACTGATAGTCTATGCATCTATCCAAGAAACTTTGTATAATAATTTTGAAAGAGCATTAAATTTCTTATAAACCTCAAGGAGATAGGTAAGTGAGAACCTATACGTAAGGTAAGTAAACTACCAGCAATGCCAATGATATGCCAAAGGCTTGGAATTTTCTCCACTGAATCAAAATATATTCATTTTATTTTATCAAAACGTGGTCATAAAATCTTTTTTAAAAGTTGATTTGATAACAATCACCAACATGTAAGAAGTGAAGGTTTTTTCTGTTATCATGCTGCAACTAGTTTAAATTCTGCCAGTTTGGGAAGGTGACTCTTATACTAGCTCAACATTTAATAAATAAACTTCAATATTTTAATTTAACACTATTAGTGACGTAAGAAAAGAATATTTTTTTGTCGACAGTAGCTATTCACAATTTATTCAGGCATCATTATTTTTCCTTTGATAAGACGTTTTTTATTATTGTTTGTAAAATGAGGGATGGGAATCCTTTCTCACTATGATTCGCTTGGACCTTTTTTGAAACTCAGTCTGTTAATGAGGCTAACTAATGGCACATCAGAATTATAAGGGAGTTGATCCATCTAGATCTTTAACAGGGAAATCAGTAGCATTCCTTCACGGTTTTGTGGAGAAAAATAACTATATATCATTTGAAGGAAGCTAACAAACCATGAACAATTGTTGATGTAATTAAGGAATTGAAGTGCCAGGCTGACTAAATTGAATCTCTTTCTGTAGCCTGGATACGGTTGGCGACGGGATTATCCTTCAGTATAATGAGGCTGTAGGGCGCCTTGGCGTGGGCAGCTTGTTCAGTGTCCTAAAGAAATGTCGGACCTAATCATAGTAGGTGATTAACCCTCAAGTAGGTGGACAATTACTCTCATCAATAGTCCCTTAGGATATGATATCATAACCAGTCAAAAACTGTTCCCCTTGTTGATGTGTTTGAATGCAATAATAAATATGATTCAAAAACAATATTATGATAAAGTAAATTAAAAGGGAAGGTGTCGGACGTAAAAACTCCGAATTCAACGACATTTTTCGTAGTGATACTGGTTCATAGGGTTCTTAGCAATGTGCCTAAGAAAAAAATTAAATATAATTTCATCCTTGCTTCTGCCTTTGCTCAGAACGGAGTTCTATAATATTATATACTAATAGAGATTTCTTTTATCGTGTAAAATAAGAAAAAACATTGATGATTATATTAAATGAAATCAAATGTATAAGGAGAAATTACACAAATCAAAAGACGCTTTCAGAGAAGTAGACTTGGTAAATATATGTCATGGAAAAGCCATTCATAATGTTTATATTTTATTATTTCTATTCATTCCTATTTAATAGCTATAAAGGAGGCTAAAACAAATATGCATGGCTTTTTCCATGACTTATATTTACTTAGCATACTTTTCTTGAAGCGTCTGTTGATTGTGAGAAAAAAAAATTGTTTTCGATTGCTATGAAAATTTGTATTTAAGTGCGAAATACTAATATTTTTTAATATGTTTCTTCTAAAAAAAATATTTCACTCCACTTAGCTCCTTCGGTCGGTACAAATTGTTTTTATACTGCTCAATTCAAGCAATTAAAGCAATTGCTTCATTATAAACCAGATAAAATTTACTTCAAATGAAAATAAAGTTTGTCATTGTTAAATCATTTAAAGAGGATTTTTTAGCAGCTAAACTAAGCTTAAGAACTTTTAATTGAATGCTAAATGTTGAGCAAAATATCTTTATTTTTGTATTGCAATGAATATTCATATAATATTAAAACAGCCAGCTCCGATTAAGTCGGCTCATATTTTTTTTTTTTCAATACGAAACAGGTTGATATTCGTAATTTAACTCTTAATATGAATTTTCATAGCAATAAAAATTAATATTTTCGACTAGAATTTAGAGCCTTTGAATTTGTTTCGATAATCACAAAAATTATTATACCAAACTTCAACATGGATTCACCTAGTTTAGCTCTATTGAATTTGGAAAAAATTTTGAGGAGTTATAAATTATTTAGTGTATCTTAGAAAAAACAATCCACTAATATGATCAAGCCATAATATTTATATATTTTCAATTCAAATTCATATTTAAGAGGTTGAAAAGATGTTAGGAAGAAATTTGAATGTTTTTATTTACGAAAAAAATACACTTGGCTTACTTTACCGGAAGCCTCTTTTAGTCCTTATAATTTCGAAATAATTCAATTTAATCAGCAATATTTTTAAGTTATTACCTTTCTCAATGACTTCTATAAAATTTGTAGTAAGACTTAATGATCTCGTTTCTTTAAATGCATCTTTCTTGAGGGCCCGATAACGGATCTATTCTGTCGTATTAAATAAATAATGGATTATTTATTTTGAGTTTTTATTCATTTCTATTTTTTTTTTTTTTTTCAGCTGTTTCTTGTGGACCGGGGCGGTCCGATCTATCGGGCAAAGGCTGCTTAGTCGTCGACAACCTATGTCGGAGCGCCAACTGCCTCGTCTTTGTATGTCCTTTCTCATCCATATCACACATCATATCATGTATATCATCTAATACTATTATGACCACTAGATGATGCTGCTTCATTGCTTATAAGCTTAGATAATTAAATATTAAGGGAATATATCTACCATGGGTCTCAACTTTCTTTTTGATCCTCGCAATTTCTTTTCGGTTTTCGATACATCGCATATTATTTTTTAGGTATTCTTTCGTTACTAAGGCCTAAATTATACATGCTCATTCTATTCGCCGCAATGTAATCACCTGTATTATATTAACCGGATAAAGTTCATGAATTTCGGCGTTGTGTAACTGTCTTAATTCTCCGGTTGACTCATCCTTCTTCGGTCCGAGTATTGTATGCAATAATTTATTTTGTTAAACTTTAAGATGCCTCTCAAAAACTGCGAGTATTGTACGCAATAATTTATTTTGTTAAACCTCAAGATGCTCCTCATCCCTTAATATAATTCAGTTTCTTATTCATAATGAACTAATGGAAGGATAATAGTTTTGTATACTCTAATTTTTAAATATCGGAACCGGTGGGGCGAGCTAAGAAGTTTCGCAACAGACGAATAGCAAGCATTTCTCGCCTTAACTTCTTCTTTTATTTCTTTTTTTTATTGTCATCGCAGATCCTGATTATCTAAACATCTATAAGTGTTTAAATGCATTCATTCCTTTCTATATAAGCGAAATTTTCAGTTTTGTAGCTGGAAGGCAGTGGATCAGCTGATGAGAAGGTTGTCTCCTCAACTCCTCTCTCAGTTTTTACCAATTTTATAGCGGAATCTCTCTGATTATTCACGTGATACAGTTAAAGTGTATATCAGAGCAGTTGATATTTACTGTTGGCATCTTTTTTTTTGTTATTTTAAGAAAAAAAAAAAAAATTTTTTTTTTTTTTTTTATTTATTTATTTATTTTTCTCTTATGATATGCGGTATGATCAGCAAGTGATGGCCAGTAAGGTGCCCAAGAGGTCTCGGTCAGACGGAGTTAGCTCACCAGCCAAACAAAGGACTCGTCGCTGCCTACGAGAAATACCTCCAGTGACCAAAATGAACACTTCGGAACCAGAACCTCAGCCCCAACCAGGTACGTCTGCACAAGAAACGATTGAAGAATCACCTTTCTTTACTCCAAACCCCTACCAAGTGCTTCAAAATGACAGAGAAGTAATGGAGTCTGCAGCAATACCCAGAGAACCAAAGCCTCCTCCGATATTTGTGAAAAATATAAAAAATTTCCAGATGTTCTGCACCCAACTAAATAAAATCTGCTCTGGCAGTTATTCATGCCTTAACAGGACCAATGACACCAAAATAACACCTGATTCTGCAGAAGCCTACCGAAAAATAGTGAAGTACTTATCAGAAACAAATGCGAATTTTCACACTTACCAGCTGAGGCAGGAAAGAGCTTTACGAGTAGTGATAAGAAATTTACATTCCTCAACCCCCACTGAAGTTATTAAAGAAGAACTAACGACGCTTGGTTTCAATGTACGCCAGGTAACAAACGTTTTGAAGGAGGACAGGGAGCAGCCAGGATTACGAAATAGGATCCCACTACCATTGTTTTTCGTGGACTTGGAGCCATCACCAGGTATCGAAAAAATATATGATATCACAAGAATATACTACACAATGGTGAAAGTTGAGAAGCCATATCCCAAGAGAGACATCGTGCAGTGCCATAATTGTCAGACATATGGCCACACGAAGACATATTGCCACCATCTGCCGCGTTGCGTGAAGTGCGGTGAACAGCACAAATCTGTAGAGTGCACCAAACCTATACAAGATCCAGCAGTATGTGCCCTATGCTTGGAGGGACACCCAGCCAACTACAAAGGCTGCCAAATTTACAAGAATCTCAAAACCAGACACCAGAAAAACCGGATTCAAGATGAAGCACTAAGAACAAGAAGAGAGAGAGAGCCTTCCAGAATTGTAAACAATGATGTATCATTCTCCCAACTACTTAGAGGTAAGACTTTAACCGATAAATGTCAAGCCCTGCCACAACAACAACCTCAAACCCAACCTCAAAATCCTCTTCATCCTAATATACCTAACCACCAACAACAAATTCCTCATATTCCTCCTCCTTCAAATGCAACAGATCTCACAAGTTTGTTAGCATCTTTCCTCACCGATTTCAAATCCCTTGTTACTCCACTCATATCACTCCTCACGAATCTCGTATCTCACCTCATTCCTCCTTTGAAAAATCCTTAAATGACTCACATCCCTAAACCCATATCCATTCTCCTTTGGAATGCGAATGGTGTTAGAAATCATACAGACGAACTATCTACTTTACTACTTGACAAGAACATTGATGTGGCACTAATTACTGAAACTCGACTAACCACTAAACAGCACTTCAATATACCACAATACCTGACATATCGTACTGACCACCCTGACGGAAAAGCACATGCTGGTACTGCTGTAATTGTACACCAATCCCTCTCCCATCACGTACTCCCATTACCAATACATGATTTCCTACAGTCCACCGCTATCGTGATAAAAACCTTCTCCTTTCCGGTCACTCTTGCATCAGCGTATTGCCCTCCTAACCGATCCATATCCAATGCCCAATTCAGTTCTCTCCTCGACTCCTTAGGACATCACTTCATCTTGGGTGCAGACCTAAATGCCAAGCACCAACAATGGGGTTCCAGAACCACGAATTCTCGTGGCCGAACCCTGCTGTCTGCACTCAATTCCCAACGTTTTCACCTCCTTTCCCCCAACTCTCCTACCTACTGGCCCACAGATCCCAACCGTAATCCTGATCTTCTTGATTTCTTTATCCACAGCGGCTTAAGTCCCCTCAATTGTTCCATTACACGTCTAAATGAACTTTCCTCTGACCATAGTCCTCTAATCCTTAATGTTTCACTTGAACCTGTTCCCAAACCTTCTCCACCGTCATTCATTAGGGGCCCAGTAAACTGGGACCTTTTCCGCCAAATAATCTCCGATAATATTGATCTCAACATATCCCTCAAAACTCCCGATGACCTTGATAGTGCCGTAAATTCCTTTACTACCACAATCCAACAAGCCGCCTGGACTGCCTCCTTTCCAAAAGACTCCTCCAGAATTCCTAAAAAGACCATTCTACCCCAACACCTCCTTAACCTAATCCGCACCAAACGCCGTGCCAGATTATTATGGCAACGAACCCGACATCCTACCGACCGCTGCTCCTATAATTACTACTGCAAACAATTAAAACTGGAATTAGCCACCTTCAGATCACAATCCTTCAACTCCTACCTATCCTCCCTCTCTTCTCGCGACAATTCCCTTTGGAAAACCACAACAAAAATCCTAAATCCTCACCGCATTTCCCATCCTCTCCGACAAGGTGATGGCTCCTGGGCAGCATCTGACGAAGATAAAGCTGAGGAGTTCGCCATTCACCTATCCAATACATTTATTTCACATCCGGAATCCCATCCTGCCCTCACCGTAACAGTAGAAGAACTCCTTACATCACCAATCCCACTTTCCTTGCCCCCAAAAGCTATTCATCCTTCCGAAGTAAAATTTCAATTAAAAAAACTAATCCTCCGTAAAGCTCCTGGACATGATCTCCTTACACCTCAAATCCTTCGACAACTTCCATCCAAAGCAGTCATATTCCTTACATATATCTACAATTGTATCCTACGCACCACCCACTTCCCTCTGTTATGGAAACACTCCACTATTATCCTTTTCCCAAAACCAGGAAAACCTCTCAATAGCTCAACATCCTATAGACCAATCAGCCTACTCCCAATCCTTTCAAAAATTTTTGAAAAGATCCTTTTGAAACGAATCCTACCCATTATAGAATCCCAAAATATCCCTTCCCATCAGTTTGGTTTTCGCTCTCAACATTCTACTGTTCAACAAGGACTCCGAGTTGTTGATCATATTTCCTCAGCCCTAGAAAACAAGGAATACTGTTCGGGTGCCTTTCTGGACATTGCACAGGCATTTGACCGGGTATGGCACTCCGGACTGCTCTCCAAGCTTAAAATCCATTTACCTCAGTCCTTGTACCTAGTCCTCCGATCCTACCTCTCTGACCGCTCCTTTCGAGTTCGCTGTGGAACAGAATTTTCCAATATCTACTCCGTTAAAGCCGGTGTTCCCCAAGGCAGCGTCTTGGGTCCCGTGCTTTACATCCTCTTTACTGCTGACATCCCTGTTCATCCCGATACTTTTCTTGCAACATTCGCTGACGACACCGCAATCTTATCATCCAACTCTGATCCCGAAATAGCATCCTTAAATCTCCAAAGTCATCTCACCTTGATTGAGCACTGGTGTAATAACTGGCGCATTAAAGTTAATGAATCTAAATGCCAACATATTACTTTTACACTCCGACGCAATTCCTGTCCACCAGTACTCTTTAATTCCATCCAGCTTCCTTATTCAGACACAGTCCGGTATCTTGGCTTTCATTTAGACCGAAGACTAACTTGGAACCCGCATACTAGACTCAAAAGACAAGAACTCAACCGACGATACGGCCAACTATACCGACTACTAAGCAGAAAATCTAAACTTTCTATTGAAAACAAGCTACTGATCTACAAGACAATACTGAAACCTATTTGGACTTACGGACTAGAACTGTGGGGATCAGCAAAATTTTCTAACATCAAGCGCATCCAATCCTTCCAGTCTAAAGTCCTTCGAACAATAGTCGATGCTCCTTTCTATGTATCCAACAAAACCCTACATCATGACCTTAACATCCCATTTGTCCTAGACCTTATCCCAGAAAAGTTCTCCAAATTTCACCAGAACCTTACTTACCACCCAAATCCTCTTGCACAATCCCTATCAAGCATCTCCCATCCCTATAATCCTCCAAGAAGGTTGAAACGGCAGTGGCCTCGCGACCTTTTGTAAATTATATAAATTGGAGTTCTGGCAATGGCCAGATTCTTCACTCAAGACATGTGTGTATGTGGCTAAAGTGCTCTCGACCAATCTCCGCTGGCTTTAGTACCAGTGACGCGGTTGGAAGAGTAGCGCAGGGTTCTCCTGGAGTTCCCTCGCCTGATTGTATATAGGTATGCATGTTATTTTTTTTTTTTTTCCTTAGTTTTAATTTTCTTATTTTTTAGGTTATTTTATTTTATTGTCTATTGTATATACTTTTGATTATTATTTTGTTCTATTTATTTTATTTTTTTGTACATATGGTGTGAATGTCATCCTACCTCACTATAACCAATGTCGAACAGACAGATTGTTATAATACTCAATAAAGAAATTAGTTTTGTAGCTAACCATATATTTCGCCTTGTTGGTTTTATTTCGATCCCTTATTCTTTATTTCCTTCTATCAACGTTGTATTTAGTTTCTGCGTATTTGCTTAGCCGTTTGTTCCACCCATATTTAAACCTTTTTCGGTATCACCTCACTAACAGAACGTTCTATAGCTAAATGAAATAGGAAAGGCGAAAAGGAAACACGGTGTTTTAATCAGGACAAACTTCAAATTGTTTGCAAAAATAATTACAGATTTTAACTTGGATATTTTCTTCATGCACATCCAGTGCCGACCTTAGGGTGGTAACCATTGCCATGGGACGCCGAATTTGAGGGGCGCTGTCCGATTTAAAGGGGCGCTCGCCACTTACATATTCAAATAATTAACTTTATCCTGTTAATAAAGTATCTGTATTAGAGAAATATTGAATGAAATGAAATTGAAATATTAAAACAAATAAAGACATAAATTTAATATTTTTAGGGGGAAGGTGAGGTCATTGCTCGGGGATGCCACAAGTCTAAGGCCGGCACTGTGCACAACCTTACTAGATTTACTTCTATTTTTTGGAATATTCTGCCCGATTAGAATATTATTATACTTGTGGTGGTAAATGGAATCATAAGCGTTTTTGGGATTAGATAAATGCCTCAATATAATACTTTATACCTTATTTTCACATTATTATTATTATTAGTATTGTATTTTAATTAGCTTATTTAAACCATTTTTGCCCTAGTTGATAGAATTTGAAAATGGGTTCCGGCCAATCGTGTGGAGCAGGTGATAATGGTAAATATATATTATCACAAATGAAGATGAATTTTCTCTGTTTCATTAGTTGAATAAAATCGTTTATGTTTTGTTTAGAGAAAACTACTATTACCAAGTCTAAAAGCTATGTTGAGGAATTATTGCACATTAAACAGGCTAATTTCCTAAATTCGAACTCAGTTGAATCCAAAGGTATAATACTTGAATTTTCTTTTTATTTAAATTAGTTGATGTAATTTAGACTAAAAAAAATATATAAAAGTAATAAAATTTTATTTTTTATTTTTTTAATTGTTGAACGGAAAATGTACAATGATGTTCTTTATGTTCTATAAACAGGCATAACTCATTCTCAGCCAATGACGACCCCAAAAAGCGTCATAGGTTCCTCATCTTTTCATTCTTCTGGTTTCTTGCTTTACCCTTCCATGATCTTTCTCATTATATAGATACTACCCGTGCGAACAATAAAGGATTTTTTTTTTATGTCCATCCTTCCTCGCCTTTTGGGCTATTTTTATTTTATTTTACCCGGGGATTTTCCCTGATTAGGGGAGAGGGCGGGAGATGAATTATTTTATATCTTGTAAACTTCGGTTTATCATGTGGTCGGTTGCGTGTTTTTCACACGCATTAGCTCGCTCGGGTCCCCGCGCTCCTCCAAAATAACCCAAAAAATATAGTTCCCTACAAAAATTCACCTCTCAAAAACTCTTAATAACTAGTTAAAAAGTTGCTCCACCAAAACATTTGATGGCGCAAACTGCGCCATGTTACCCCTTCTGGCCCCTCCTAGATCTATATGATTAGCTTATCTTAGTCATCACATTTGGATGAAGTAGCATTGAGTTCCTTTTACAATTCTAGGCTGAATCTTCGGCTGGCCATTGCACCTATCAACCTACCAGTGCCTAAAATCTCTCATCTGCATCCTCCCCTCCAAAAAAATATATTACTCTATGAGATGGATTCCAAGTGAATGTTACTCTAATATGCAATGGTTTGTTTCAAAGTCATATAATTGATAGTGTTGGGATTTTGTAGGAATACTAATTCTTTGTTAACTTGAGTTCAGTTACATAATGTTAATTTTAATCTCTGCTTCTATATTAGTTTCAGCGCTGAAATAGCAGCCAAAATAGGTACATTAATTAACTTTTTAGAATTTTTTTTAACATCAAACAACCGATTAAACGAAAGGAAAATTTACCAGTTAGGTTAAAAATTATCGGTTTTTATTAAAAAAGATAAATGAATAAAATAGTTAAGGAAGTAGTGTAAACAAAATAAACTGTTCAATTAACATAACCGTTTTATTTTAAAATAACCACTTTAACTTGAAGTTATAGTTTGTTCGAGACCATCTCTGTAATGAATTATGGACTACATGTAACTATAGTTCCTACTATAATTAAACTTAAAAATCACCTATTTCTACCTTCTACTCACAACATTATTTAACCTACGTTTCGTTACTTTTTTTACTTTCCTACCTATTCTAGGTAAGGAAAGTATTGCAATCGGGTCAAATTTCCGACATACGGTTTTCGACGAATCTACGTTTCACAGCCCCCTGAATCTTAACAGCCTACTTAACCGATTTCGTTGCTTCTTTTTTTATTTTGTAGGGTTTTGACTACCGATGCCTGTGACAGAAATTCGATGCTCCATGCGCAATAGCTTGCGCGCAATAAATGAAAAACACGTTTTTCTATTGACTGTAGCGCAAAACGGCTCTAACGATTCTGATTAAACTTTCCTATAATGTTCTAATCATTGTCCTTTCAATTTTCGTAAATCCCCGAATATATGAATTCCCGAAAAAATTCAGAAAAAAAAGTTATAAAGAAAAGAAAAATTTTATGGGGCCTAACTCCCTAAGTATATATTATACGGTTAAATTTATAACTAAACTTTTGAAAGATAATTAAATTACCAACAAAACAAAATCGAATTACCAACAAAAATCATCGGAATCGAACCAGTATTAGCGATGATACAGCTTATTCTATTTTTTACACATTTTTTTTTAACTTATTACTTTCCTACCTATACTAGGTAAGGAGAGTATTGCAATCGGGTCAAATTTCCGACATGCGGTTTTCGACGGATCTATACATTTCACTGCCCCCTGAGTCCGAAAAACACATTTTTAGCCATTGGTCTGTCTGTCTGTCTGTACCAAGATTTTCAGAGGAACTACTGAACCGATTTCGTTGCTTCTTTTTTTATTTTGTAGTGTTTTGACTACCGATGTCTGTGACAGAAATTCGGTGCTCCACTTTTCAATTTTCAGGAAAATAAATATAGTTCAATTCTTTTTTGTTTCTTCATGAACATGTGTAAAGATATAAAAACTTTTCTGAAATAGGTAGGAAAGTCGTGTGAGTGGACACACCAGATTTTTTCATATTTAATATAGTAAATTAAAGTAATTCTAAAACAATCACAATTTAAATGAAGTACTTTGTTTCTATGGATGATGAATTTAATCGTTAAACATCTAGACGTAGGAAGAAAAAAATTAATCTCTTTTGAAGAAGTAAATTATATTTTAAAATTGATTCTAAAGCGTTTAATACAAATACATTTATTAATTGTTTATAATTTATTTATTAATTTTATTGTTTATTTTTTTTAAAATGCTTAATATAATAATAGTTTTTTTTAGAGGAAATACAATCAAGAAGAGAAAGGATATTGAAAGCTCTTACAGATCGTAAACCTGTCAAGCCCTACGCAGTGCAGCTGCTGGAAGCCCGGGCTGCCAACAAAAGTGAGCTTTCCATACCAGAAACATTCCAAGCCCCGATAGTTAATACTGACGCTCAGTCTAAGAGGTTACAGGGTCAGAAAAATGTAAAAGAATCGGATCAGAAATCGAGGATTTTGCAAAGAATCGCTGCCCGCCGCAAGAGTAAGCGACCCGTCAATAATACTTCGCTATCTCCTACCGTCAGGTGTTCATCGGCTACTGCTGCCAGGGGTCCATCGGCTACTGACATTAATGCTTTACCTATTTCTACTAATACTTCACCTGTAAGAACCAACAGGCCTCCGGCTGCCAAAACTCCGCCACCTCCAACCGTTTATTCTTCGACGCCTCCTGCCTCCAACAAGGCGACTCAGTATGACCCTCCAGCTAAAGTATCTTTTCTATCAAGGGCTTCACAGTCTTCATCTCTTGGGAGCTCTGTAGACTCTGCAATACAGGTGACACCAACAGTCCAGTCGTCTCTTCAGCAGACGGTACGATTATCGGAGCCAAAGATCTATGTTCAGCCATCAGCACCACCACCGCCCAAGATCCTCCCACCTCCGCCCAAGATCCTCTCACCGCCACCTATGCGCCTGTCGATCCAACCACCGCTATCTGTGCGGCAATCTATCAGTGCTGCATTTTCCAGACCGAGCCCCTCTTCAGCTTTGGATTACAGTATAGCACCTTCGCCACCTTCCTTCAGCGACCTTCTAGAAAATGTTTGCAAAGACAAATTAAACCAGGTATGAACACTGATTCAAGAGAAACGATTGAATAAGCTGAACAAATGTCCAATGTTTTTTTTCTTTTATTTCGTGGTTAGCCGTTAGGCGAATTACTGCCCTAAGTTGAGAATGGTTATAAAACTTGTTTGGCAATTCATATCAGGAACGTGGCAAGAGAACTTCAGCTCCCCTCCCCCCATAATGTTTTTTTTTTTTAAATTCACTTTTGAAAATAAAAATTAGTTTTTTATATCTGTTAGCATTACAGATCTTGTACATGTTTTACCACCTTAAGCAGCCTTTTCCATCTCTGCCTATCTTGGGCTATTTCTTCCAGTTATTTGCTTTGAGCTCTATTGCATTATTGTCGATTGGATCCATCAGCTTTTTGTCCTTGCTTACTATTAAGGTATAGTCATTGTTGTGTAGAAGCGTTCTGATGGATTTCTCCGAACAACATTATCCGCTCATCTTTAATCTCCTCGCCTTCATATAATGAAATATTGATTGACCAGATTTTGTATACAATTCTTTATTGGTCCTTCTTTTTCATGTGTTAATACTCTAATCCCTGATCCATGCGGATTTTTCTCTTGAATCTTTCAATACTTCTTCCTTGGATGTTGGTTAGTGTTCAAATCTCGCAGTCATATATCAGAACTGGCTTTATCATAGCATTTTACACCTTTAATTTGATATTGCTTTGATTTGAATATCTTTGAAAGGAAAAAAAAATTGCTGTTTGCTGCTCTATTCCCGATCATTGATCTTCCATTGAGTTAATTGTGGAGACTGTATTTAAATTTGTCTACTCTCGGGAACGATTGCCCTTCTACGCAGATCGTATTATTGAGGTGAAATTTTCGGCTTGTTTTAATATATGAATATTTGTTTTATCCTCATTTACTTGTATAGGAGGGAGTGGGGTGGACGAGCGGGCTAACGTGTGTGCACAGCACCGCGCGTTGGTCGGCAACCTAATAACCAAAGTTGGAGACAATAAAATTACGAGTTCGCGTCCCGGTGCCGAGATCTTTTAACTATGACATTAATCCTCCGGCATCACCCTTGGTACGGGAAAAACCCCGTATAGCATGAAAGACAAGGTAAAAAAAATTACTTGTATAGGCCAATTTGCTCTGCTTTACATATCATAGTGGTAAGGTGGTTTCCGCTTGGTTGCTTCCTAGGAAAGCTATATCATCTGCACATCCAAGGATTTTATGATTCATTCTGACGTTTAATCCTTCATTTTTCGTCATATTCTTATCGTCTTCTCCAGCGCGAAGTTGAACGTCAATGAGAGTCCATCTGTAATACCTTCTGAAATAGCTGTAAGCCATTTCGAACTTAGAGGACATCAGATACTTCTTGTATTAGGACTAGACGTTTATAGCCATTTGTATGTACCTTCGTCAATTCGCAAACTTCCCGGAAATTCCCAGTTTAGTCATGATTTTCCAAAGATCATAGTCCAAAGATCATAGGAATCATAGTCTGTCAATGAAATTTACATTTTATATTTCAAAATTTGTGTATGAAATATTTCATACTTATAATATTATGTATTATATATTATAAGTTATAATATTATATATTGTGTATACAATATTACTCGTTAAATTGCAATTCAAGGTCATTTAATATGTTTTCTCATGATGCGTACATTCTAAATAATTGGTTTCAACGGTTTTTTCGACTCCAAGTGTATGTCCAAGTGTAGTTCTTCATAGTTTCTATTTTTAACAAAATTGCTTGTTTTTTGTTGGAAATCGACCTAGATATTCTTATCCCTGAGACAGTAACGATCACCAGATGGTTTAATTAAGAAAACGAAGATTTTCAGATGTATCGCTTGAATTTTGAGACGACTATTCTGGGTCACGGATATCCTTGATGGATGAGTGATTAAGCCTAAATGGCAGTAAAAAATTACAGAGTCAAATTCGTTTTGTCACCCCATTGAGGGAAAGGTGGTTATTAAAGATCGTTTCATTTTCGTTAATTTCAATGTCGTTTATTAGATTTGAAAAATTACATTACCTTAAACATTGCTTAAATTGATAATGTAAAACTGTAACTAAAAAAGAAAATGAAGGATAATAACTTGAATGATTTCTAATTTGAAGAATCAAGACTTAGGTAATTTTAAAATTATTTATGTGTTATGTTGAGATTGATTAAGAACAACGACTAATTTTTTTAAACTGAACTATGATGCTGGAAACTAAATTAAAAATTAAAATAAACAACAAAACATTTAATATAGTGCAGAATTGTGACACTGGTACCTAATTGTCAATACTTAACAATATTTGATTCTACTAAGTAAAAATGACTGTCTGCAAACTGATTGAATTTAGTTTTATTTAATTTTTGTAATAGTTCACTAATTTTCTTTTTCATAAAGATATATAAACTATATACGGTATAATTTCTTTCCTATTATTATTAAGTAAGGATTGTTCGTATGCTTAACCAGCGAAACATTATTTCTGTTGTATACAAATAAACTATTGCAATGTGACTGAAAAATATTAATATAAATTGATTAATAAGGATGATTTTTTAGAATAAACCTTCAAACTGGAGACCAGCCTCGTTGATGGAACAGAAGAAAAGATACTTTGACCAAGATCCTGTCCCTTTGATATCCTCTCCAATCAAATCGTAAGTTTCATCGAATGATTATAGTTTAATTCGAAAAAATAAATGCCTTAAAAAAATTACTGGATGTTGATGAACTCTGTGCCAGCCTTAGAAATTTGGCGTTTCCGGGCATATAAGTCACGAGCACCTGACTTTCTTCTCCGCAAAAGTAGAAATGAAATTAAAGTGACAGAAGAAACGGACATTGTTCATTCAATGCCTGTAATTCAGTTACTTTACGAATAGGATTTTTTTTTTTTCATAATTCTCAACCAAGTCGATGTCATTGGACATTATTAGATTCGCGGTCCTAGTAAATTTCAAAAGCAATTTAAATCTTTTTCACACCTCTATAACAAATCTTGCACAGGCCTGCGGCAATGGATAAACTTAACCTATTACAAAAAATCTATTATTTTGTCTCCTTATTCGAGATAACTGATTAATCTTCAATGCTAATTATTCCCCCAAAAGTCTTTTACTAAACTAAAAGTTCATTATTCTTATGATTTAATAATCTTTAATTTTTAAGATCCTAGTATAAACTGACCTTCTAATAAAAATTATAAAAATGTAGTATCTAAGAAAAATTGTATTATAAATAAATTAACAGCTAAAATATTAAAGCGTTTTATGTAGCGTTTCTCAAAGAGATAATAACAAGAATGCTTTAACTACGGGAGACTTCAATGCTAGAATGGACTGGGATCATCGAAAATCGTATCGAGTCAATGCGTTCCAAAGGAAACGGAATGGGACATGGTCTTTTACCTTCAGATTTAAAAAGAATGAAATGACTCAGGATAGTTGATTCAAGATCATCAACACATCAAGAACATATGAATAAGCTGTACTTACAGTGGTAAGATGTTAAGCAGACTTGGGTAACATCTTACTATTGCTAACCTCCATATTATCTTGAAAGCACAGTGGGGTTCAATAAACAAATAATGCCCATCAAACGCTTCCTATTTTTGGCAGCTATGCGAAATAAAAATGAGTGAAGAGAAAAAGTTTGATCAATAAATAATGTCCAGCACAGAAGCTTCAGCCCGAAAGCTTTTTTTTCATAAAAATAACGATAATTACTTTGGGAAAAAATAAAGAAACTATCTACCTTTATGAAATGGTGTTCAAGTGATTCCTAAAATCCTTTTAAATGTAACTACCCAAACAGTAATACTTTAAGAGGTAATTTTTTTCCATAAAACATGGTAAGAAAAATAGAAAGTTTAAGCTAAGAAAATTTAAACTTGACAGAACGTGAAGGATCTGTGGAAAAACTTCAAAAATTAAAAGTGGCCACTAGAATATTGGGAACAAATAATTTAATATGGGCAGATATAGAATGAAATATTGTAATGATGCTGTCAAAAAGACATACTATGATGCAAACAAAACATGAATTTGATTTAAAAATGCCGAAATCCTACATAATGAAAGTAATACTAATAAACGTACAATAAAGAAAGCAATATACATAACAAAAAAGTTTTAAAACTCGGTAAATAATCATACAGATGTGGATAATATGAACACATTTTACGCGAGTTCAATTGAAAAAATCAAAACTTGAAATGAATTAGCTAATGTTTCTTAAAATAGGCCCCCATATAATATTGGGAAACATCATTGTATATGTTTATAATAAATAGTCTTCCCCTAATCCTATGAGAATAACCGGTCACTGAATAGAAATGAGACCGATGATATGTGGGTGAAACATGATAAGATAATTTTAACATATTTGAATCGTTTAATAAGAAAGAATTGAGTAATAATGATGTCATAAAATAATTAAAGGTGAACATGACAAGAATAAAACATTTTATTATGAGTAGACGCATGCAATTCGCATAAATGGAATGGACAGGTACATGATGGGTCTTTATGTATTTAAAAGACGTAGGACAGCAAGATCACCCCAAAATGGAAACTCTAAGTATTAGTATCAAAAAATTAACAAAAAGACTGCTCCTAGAGAGTATTAATTGTAAGCTACAGTGCCTTTCCGCAGGTATATATAACATGTAAATTCAATCTTCAATCCATGAACTAAAAAAAAAGCTTGTTGAAAATGATGAGAAGGAAGAATAGGCGACCGGTATGCAGCTCAGAGTTGACAAACCCATTACAATCTTTATGAACTCTGAAATATACTAGAGCAATATTGGAAAAGAGACAGAGAAATTTAGTTGGCTTTTCTGGATACCCAGAGCCGCTTTCGACTCTGTTCCACGAGAACTTATTTGGAAGATCTTGACTAAAATGCGCCAGTCCCCATAACCCAAGCAATCAAATCACCATACCAATACCCATAAGGGAATATAAGAATAAATGGTAAAAATTCAAAATCTTTTCCTACTTCACAAGGTGTGATGGAAGGAGATAGTCTTAGTCTATCTTCTTTTTAGTATGGTTTTGAAAGAAATACACAAGATATGTAAGGGAAGGATGGAATGAACAGTAATTAGAAAATGAGGACTCAGGGACACCAGTATAGTTATATCTATTTGCAGACGATATTGTTTTAGCCTAAAATAATAAAGGGGAATTGCAGCGGGCACTAATCGAATGGAAAGAAGAGCTGCTTAGGAAAGGTATGACGACAAACTCTCCAAAAATTAAAGTTATGGTGATCTCTAGGAAAAAGGAAGATGTATTTTTTTTTATTTGTAGTGGTGAGTTGCATGAGGCAGTTGACAAATTCTCATTCTTAGACTCAAGTCTTAGACAAGTTGACAGGACTCGAGGACCCTGCTCGGAGTTCGGAATTAGGGGGTAGCTGCACAACATCGATTGAACTGGCGGAAGCTGCTCCTGAGGCCTGAGGAGACCAGGACTCTGTAATGGATTGTCGTGCCGATAGAAAAAGAAGAAGTTGGCAGCAATGGCAGAGAAAGGTCACCAAACAAGTCAACGTTCAAAGCTATATATCTGCCGGTTCTGTTGTATGGCTCTGAGAGTTGGATAACGTTACATAGGTATATTAGCCGAAAGACTAGATAATCATGGAAATGAAATATCTCTGATGAGTTGTAGAGTTTCGCCCGAAGAACTATTTTTAATGGGAGTTTAGTCCAAAATGCATAGACCGCCTGTATAGAGGTACGTTTCCTACAAAATTCATACTAATTATTTGTGATCACTTTCCAAATACGCCGAGAAATATAGAAACAAAAATTTATATGACAATGTACTGAAAACAAAAAACGTCACAACATATTGAACATCGCCTAAATCATTAGAAGAATTTTGTGAATTACATACAGTACTCTATGGGTATCCTATTGTTTTTTGAGCTAAATATAATTCCAATTTTCGATTTAAAATCTACAGATAGATAGTAACTGTCGGCTATTTCATGGTTTAGTATTCACTTGCTAACTATAGGTTGCTGTATTCACAGCTTCCAAGTAATTGAGTAAATTGGTTATACGTTTTTTTTTTTAAATATTTCTATAAATATATAATTTAATTTTCAATTTTAGTTCGATAGCATCGCTCATCCGAGATCCATATTTGAGGCCATTCTTCCCAAAGAAATTAGGATGACTTGTGAAAATCTGAAGGTGAAAAAACATGACCCATTTATTAGCAATAATAATCTCAGTTCAAAATTTGATCATCTTAATAGAATTTATTCCGGTTCTTCATCAGTAACTTCAATGAGGTCTTAATCCAAAAAATACTGCGTATTTTATGGTAAACGTGTTGTGTTGTACAGTTATACTAGCTAAAATGAGTAGACCTTGACATAGATCTGAAAAATGATTTTTGAGATTAGAATTTACCATTTATTATTTGGTTATTTATTGCGTATTAATACGCAAGGAACAAGCGTAGTGGAAAATATAAGCAGAATAAAAAACTTTCGCTTACTAGAGAATTTCTCAACCCCGCTCTAGAGAATTTCTCAACCCATGTATTTGATTGGTATCATATTGTCCAAGGTTCTTTTCTATCTTAATAAATTACAGAATATCGGGCCAGAAGTTGCTGACTATTGGTGAAAAACAGCCCCTAGATTTCGACAGTGATGTGAGCTATCGGAAGAGGCATACGGCGGCAGTAGACAGAATAACAGACTCCTTAATGGCCAACTGGGTGAGGAAAAAGACTTCTGCAGAGTTACTGGGCGCTGATGAAAAGGAATTGTCTTTGCTGACCTACAGCGAGTCAAAAAGGCCGGAGGTACCTCATTTTCCAGTCAGAGGGAAAGGCCACATTAACCAAGAATGTTCTAACCATGGCGATGCTTTGGTCAGTCTGTTTGTAATTTATTACATTTTTTAATATTCATTTAACCAATACATAATTAGCTATAAACTACAAAATAGTATAAATGTTTACTGTATTGGAAACATAACTATCAATCATAGAACAATAAAAATTAAATTAGTTGTATTGAAATTTGTAAACTAAGAATAATAAAAGAAGACAATTGAAGTTCACCATAATTGATTATGCTATCGTTAGGCAATGAAGTAAAATTAGAGTGCCTGATATTATAATCATAGAAGTACTAATTATGAACTGCACCTTTCTTATTGAGAGTTATTCGCGCTTTACCAAGATATTTGGATTATATTATATCAAGATATTGGATTATAATATATAAAAATGCGGATTGGAAACCCGATGGAGGTAGAAATTAATTGAAACGTACACAATTTCAAATCGAGTTATTGGAAGAAGTTTCAATCAAGCTATTATATCAGGAACGCGTTTAAGTATCGATTCAGAAATTCAAAGGTGCCAACGCTGAGAAAATTTATGATTTTTTTTTTATGAATACTTTTAAGAAGATTCCCTCAGAAGTTCTTTATAAAAAACGAATAATATAAAAAAAACAAAAAAACAAAAACAGCGGTAAACCAAAGATACTGGATGGAGAGCGGTGAGAATAACCAGCCGTACCTCAAATACCTCAAGATAGGAAATTTTGTGCGATGGAAATGAAAGAACTACATAAGTCATCACTAACAATAAGAAGTGCAATAATATCAATATGAGTAATATCATTGGTAACTATAAGAAGCTAATATATACTACAGTCGCTGAAAGTAATGAATGAATGAAAATATTTTAATAGTCTGAGATTTAGACACTTAACAGAGTACAGGAAAAAATATTTTTAACAGTGGAGATGGATTACTGCAAAAAGTCATCCGGGTTATAGGATGGAGTATGTCAAGAACAGCAGATCAGCATTCAGCAGTAAGAGGAAATCAGAGAATGAATTGAAGTAAAAAAAAAATCTTACAAGAGTTATGGACGTTGGGTCACTAAATTCAATGAAACTGTTTTTTTTTTTGTGATACAAGGTCGAAAAGTATTAGATCCGAGGGTTCTTGCAAATGCGTGTACCAGGAGCTGACTAAAAAAATTACATAATTTTAAACAAAATTCTTGTTATTAATTTCGGCTTTGCTTTACACAGATGTTTAGGTTACTTATATACCAAACTATTTATTTTCTTCTTTGTGGAAAATCAGACAAAATATTGACTATGGTATTAAATGATTTATGAAGTATCTTAATTAACAATTTCCAAAAGGCGCTTCCAGTAAAGTAGGCCAAATATTTTTTTGGCATGAAAAAGGAAGTTTGATCCTTTTTTAGTGTTCCTTAAAATCCTTAAATACATTCAAATTTTATCAAAACTAAAATTTAAAATGTTAGTACATGATTTTCTTGGAGGTTTCGTTTTTTCGGTCGTTAACTAAAGCATTCATAACTTCTCAACATTTTCTTCCAATTCAACGTCATTGCAACCGTTGGAAATAGTTGGAAAGCTCTTCCAACACATCATTAAATGTTGGTGGTTTTAAGCTAGAAATTTTGAAAAATTTCTAAAACATTTATATATTATATCTGTGGTTCTGATTTGTTTACGTACGTTGGTTTTGTACCATTTCGTGTGGCATATAGAGCCCCACATACCCAATAATTTTCGTTTGAATCGGTGGAGATTTGGTGAACTTTTTAAGATTTTTGTATTTGCCAACAAAATTTCGTGCAAATATTTTAATTTTTCAGTTGCTATTAAAAAAAATAGTTAGAAGTTTTCTGAGGCGTGAAAAATGAAAATCAATTTCGTTTCTCACTAAAAATTATTTACCCTTATATTGCTTATTCGGTTGGTCCAGTTTGTTCGGACATGTCCTGATCTTAACAATAAAAATCTTTAAATGATAATTAATAAACTATGATATGTAGAACAGTGACAGACTTCCTTCAATAAATTATTCCAAAGATATAAAATAAAAATGCTTTAGAAATTTCCCTAAGTTTCTAGCTTAAAAAGGAATGAAATACAAAATCTATTGATGTGTTTGGGAAGACCATCTAACTTTCTTCTTCATAGCAAAAGTTTTCTTGGTCAACTTTGCCGAAAGCGCTGTTTAGTTTTTGTTTATTAAGTTACTTAATAAATCATTTAATATAAATCATAGTCAATATTTTTGTCAACAAAAAAAAGTCGTTCGATATATATTAACCTAAAAATCCATATAAAGTAAAACCAAAAATTAATAACATGAATTTTGCTTTAATTTATATAAAATATATTTTTTCAGCTGCTAGGGAGAATTAACAAGATATCTGGGACATGGGTGTAATATTTGTCGACCTAGTATAACCAAAAAATTCACTATTTTTTTTATTCTGATGATAATAAAATCTTGTGGGTATTTTATTTGTTTAAACACTGCGATATTTTCATATCGCCGTAATGTATACAATTAAATATTCAATAATATCAGCACTAGCATTGATGAAAATCGCATATTGTACATCAGTGCTCAAACAAATAAAAATAAATAATTAAGATAAAAATACCTCATCCCTAAAATGTATGATGTTGCTCCCATCTAAATATTTTAATAGTAGTAATACTTTAATAATTGGCCGCTGATGAATTTTTATGTTTTACGCCTTAAACATCAACAATAAACATCAAAACAACCAACCAACTTACCAATATATGAAAAAAAATTCTTTTTACTCAAAGTAGAATGGTAAGTGTCATGCGCGCCCTGCACCATTTTATCTCCACTTACTCGCCATTTCAGAAGAAAATGGCTTCTGTTGATTTAGTAAATCTTCTTTAAGGCGTTTGATACAATAATAATATAATAAAATTCTCGAATAAAAGATTGAAAAATGTTTACTGTTTCAGGCATTGAAGGCTAGCCTTCCATCAGTGAGGTTCGGTAAAAGTCGACATTCACTATTACGCTGCGAATCGAGGAGTGAAAAACGATGTATTAAACACCAGGATAATAAAAATTTGATTTGAATAGCATTTTAATCTTCCTTTACTTAATGAGACACTAATGCCTTAGGGATTACCTGCATCTTTGCATTTTAAGACAAATTGTCTACGTGATCAAAATTCGATATTACTGTCGCTTCGGTAATTAAATTACATCTATATGTAATTTATGTGTTATAATGGATTTTCCAGTTAGTCTCTCATTTTATTGTATATTAATTAATGTTTTGACTCATCAATGTAATTTAAATAAAGTATAACTGGAACTATCATTAATCTTTATTACAATATTTATTATGAATATAAATAATAAATATATTGGAGTAGAACCCTAAACTTTAGTTACTTTCAGTCCATTTCTGTGGATATGAATAGGGAAGGAAGCGCATTGTGCTGTTCGTGTATGTTGAAGAAGACAAGATTTTTTAATTTATAACGTTGTAATAGAACAAAGTATCGAAAACATTACCTGCATTTTTATATGCTTTAAATAATAGCTTTTTTTGTTTACTTTCTAAAAGACTTTGATTAGGTTTTACTGGTAAATTTAATATATCATGGGTGTCCAAGAAAAAATTATCCCTGCGACCCTTGGTTTCTCTCCACAGCCTTGTAGGGCTTATATACATTATTTATTTGTAATGACGGCCCAAAACGCTCTATCAGTGTACATTGGTGCTAAATAAAAATTAAAGTCTTGTATATTTTGGTGATAAGACATACTATCTGGTGATAAACATAACATTTGAACAATTGTCAACGTACAACACGTAACTTTCGAACGAAAAACAAAATTTGCAGTTGTGTAGCCCTTCACCCTAAATTCTGTCATCCATGACAATAATTTTTAACTATGATTTCATCCGCATTCATTATTTTTAAGATATATATATATATATATATATATATATATATATATATATATATATATATATATATATATATATATTTTATGCACAATTTACAATAACTTCCTCTCCGTAAATCTTCTGGATACAGACTCCTTACCTCTCAAATCCTCCGACAACTTCCTCTTAAAACTGTTATATTCCTTACTTACATATATAATACCATTATACAAACCAACCACTTTCCTCTTTTGTGAAAACATTCCACTATTATCCTATTTCCAATACCCTGACTTCATACAGACCAATTAGCCTACTTCCAATCCTCTAAAAAAAAAAAATACTTGAAAAGATTACTTCATTCATCCTACTCTTTATAGAATCCCAAAATCTTCCTCCCGATCAATTTGACTTTCGTTCACCACACTCCACAGTTCAACAAGGGCACCGAGTGGTCGATCATATTTTCGCAGAACTGGAAAGCATGCAATATTGCTCAGGTACATTTCTGGACATAGCTCAAGCTTTCGATTGGGTATGGCACGCCGGACTTCTTTCTGAAAACCCATCTACCCCAGTCCTTGCACCTAGTCCTCCGATACTGTTTTTCTTATCGCACCTTTCGAGTTTGCTGTTGTACAGAATTTTCCAATTGCTATCCAGTAGAAGCCGGTGTTCCTCAAGGTTGCGTTTAGGGCCTCGTCCTTTATAACCTCTTTAACGTTTATATCTCCGTCCATCCCTATACCTCCCTGGCAACATTTGCTGATGACACTCTTACCATCCAACTCAGATTCCGAAATAGCATCCCTACATCTGCGAAGACACCTCTTCCTCATTGAGCACTGGTGTAATAAATGGTGCATTAAAGTAAATGAATCCAAATGCAAACACATTACCTTCACGCTCCGGCGCAGATCCTGTCCAGCAAACCACTTTAATTCCATCCAGCTTCCTTTTTTAAACCGGTATCATGGCTTTCTCTTAGACCTAAGACAAACGTGGAACCCACATACTATACTTAAAAGACAAGAATTTAACAGACGATATGGCCAACTATACAGACTACTTACTAGAAAATCTCAACTTTCAACTGACAATAAATTACTGACCTACAAGATAATTCTGAAACCTATCTGGATCTACGGACTGGAACTTTTGGGGGACAGCAAAATTTTCTAACATTAAAGGTATCCAATCCTTTCAATCAAAAGTCCTCCGAACAATAGCTGATGCTCCGTTCTATGTAAACAACAAAACCCTACATCATGACCATAAATATTCCATTTGTCCGAGACCTTATCCCAGAAATTTTTTCCAAATTTCATCAGAACCTGTAGTTTATTGTTAAAAAACTGATTCAAGTGTTTTTTAATGTCCTCTTCCTTTTGAAATTTCTTTCCATTCATGGAGTTCTGTTGAGACCGGAATAAGTGTTAATCACTTGGAGCTAGGTCTGGTGAATGAGGAGAGTAGGGCACCAAAGGAGAGTGAAAGGTTCCATCTAAGGCTCAATAATTCATTGCGAGGGACCAATGAGGTGTGGAGCCTAGTCTTGGTGGAACACAACACCCTTCCGATCATTCAAAACTCTTCAGGATGTTCTCCAAATTCAACGTTTCTTTATCCGTTGGAAAGATGAATTATTGCTCTTCAAAGCCGTATGAATGTTTTTTTGATTTAATGCCTACATAAGGAATAAATGAGCAAAAACTCCTTTTAGGTTTTTATTTGTTGTCTCCATTTGTAGTTTTTTTTTACAAAGGTCCTGTTGATGTCATTTTGTGTAGTTTGTGTAGCCCTAAATTCCTGCTAAATTCTTTGTAGATAGCTAAAGTCGTACAGACGTTATAATATTTGTTGTGATCTTCTAAAAAAAATTATTTGTGGGATCCAAACATTAAGCCTGGAAAATATAGCCGAGCTTGTGCAAATGGTTTTCTACGCTTGTGTGGGATACATTGAGGGTCAAAGCAATCTCTTGCACTGACTGGATGGAATGTTGATCAACAATGACCTTAACATTGCTCGGTTCAATTTCACGTGGGCGACCTGATCGTTGAGCATCATTAATGTCAAAATTTCGTGAATGAAATTTGGCAAACCAATTTTGACAGGTGCGTTCGGTTAAGTCATCATCCCCATAAACACTGCAAATTTTTCTATGAGCTTCTGCAACACACCTTTTTTAAAATAATACAACAAAATGTGCCGATAATGGATGATATTTTGTTCCATATTAGCAGTGCAATAACAAACAAAATACGGTGCTAGTTTCAACAAGAGTTAACAGATATAGTTGTTGAAATTTTGACATAGGAATCAATTCATCAGATATGAAGTGTATAATAGTGACATCAAAATAAACAGAAAAACCGAAAGGACTTATTTGCCAACCCAATATATAGTATGACTGTTTTTTTTTTTTACGTTTTTTAATTTATTTATCTTTGAGTCATTTTATTTTTTATTTTATATACTTTTAGATTATTTAGTAGTTCTTTTGCTTTTGTTTATTTTATGTTTTCTGTGTATATGGTGTGAGTGTGATCATATATCAGTATAAATATTGACCGTTTAACAGATTATTATATTTCAGAATAATTAAAAAAAATATATATAAAAAATACGAAATTGGGTTGACAAATTAAAATTTTACACTATATAATTCTATTTGAAATATGAAAGAAATAGACTAAATTATTGCTCAATTAGTTTTATGCCTGAAGAGAAATGGGCAGCATGTTATGAAAGCCGATTTGATAGTTGTGTGCCTGTTTAAATCCACCGTTGAAGAGGACATCTGCTCCTCTTGGTAGGCCGCGTCGCATTCGATCCGCTCCATCCTCAGCGTTTCGATGTTCACATCTCTCCAGGGGTTGATCTTTAATAGCTTCTCTGCTTCATCTGCTGAAAAAAACAATTTTATTTTTATTGTTTAATTACTAAGTTTATCAATACCATGTTTTTTTTTTTTTTATGTTGCTTTCTCACTATTACTCTTTTATATTCAACATTTTTTATTTTACCTAAATTTTGAGAATAAAATTTACAATCATAATACAAATAAAAAAACCGCGATCGCAATACTTTCTTCTTCTATGTGTATATATAAGTGAAAGTAAAAATATTTGAATTAAAGAAAATCTGGAGCGCGCAACACACAACTTTCACTTACCACTTTACTTCGAAAAGAAGTAGTTCTCGTCTGGCGAAATTGGCCTATTATAAGAAGTTTTTGTAGCGCATTTTCAATGGAGCTGAACTTTGAACAATATATATTTTTGAATTTCGATCATGTCCGTCTATACAATAACTCATTAAAACCATAAAAATAACATAAACCCTATTTATTATATCTATTGTAGGCAATAATAACCTCATAAGTCTATTTGAATCACATTACTCCAGTCTCTGAGCTCCATAGACAAAGAGATATTTGAAAGTATATATATTTAATTATGAATAACTAAGGTCATACTGCACAGTAAAAATAATAGGAATTAAATATCTATCATTTTAAATTCTTATTTTTTACCCTTGAGAAATTTACCAAAATACAGTTACTTGCTTTTTTAAATACGTCATCGATTAAGTCAAAACTCATAACACCTATTGAAAGTGTATAATGTTATTTCACAAAGGGATTTAAATATAATATCTGATCTAGAGTTATTAAAATACAGTAAATGTATTTAAGGCTATAAACATATGTTTATACCATCTTTATATTTCACTTCTTTTTTCACACAAGTACAATGGAATAGTTTTTTTGTTTATTATTTTCAATAATGAGCCATTGTAATCGAACAAAAAATTCAAAAACTTAACCCCCTCTCAAAATTTGAGGTTTTACGTTTCAGGATACGTAGAATTCGAAAAGCGAATAAAAAAATATTTGGTCCAACCGGCGTACGCCGTCCGCGGTCGGCGCATTTTTTCTGAAACTACTGGACCGATTTTTATCAAATTTGGACTTAAAATTAGAGGTCACCAGAGTATGATCCTTCTTCATCGATATTTCTATCCGCATTTTCTTTTCAAGATGGCGACCGAAAAAGCGTTGTTATAGACTATATCGCATAAACTAATGTACCTATTTCAATGAAATTTCGCTTAAGTCTTCTTCTCGACGTCCTTTAAATTTATCTATATAACATACAGAAAACTCCTCAACGAAAATAAGCTGGAAAAAAAGTTAAGGGGGATGGTAAAATTAGATTCCGAAT